AATTAGAGTTATGGCATGTCAAACTAACACCAAAAATGGGCTAATACCAAGTCAACACATGCTAGAATAACAAGCTCACTCATTAGGCATGCAAGACTAGTAAAGAGGACTTACACTACAAGTGTAAGAAGAAAATGAGGGATGCCCTAACCAACCAAAAACAGAGTTATATCATGGAAAAATAAGACCCAAAGCACACTGAAATGGTGGTCCAAAAGCCTAGGCAAGATGGCATACACATGGGCTCTTTTTTAAGACATAAAGCATGAACCCTTCAAAGCATTGAAGGAGTGAAACATGTGAGTGCATGAAAAAGATATAAGCTCTGAAATATCATTCCAAATGATGCTAAATCATGCAAATAGCACAAGCAATGCATGCTAGTGGCTTGGAAACTCAAGGCTAGTGAGCTAAAATGCACTATGGCTATACAAAGCATGGCATGCATGACCAAAACAACATAAATCAGGCCTTAAGCATGCTAAAACATGAACAAAGTCTTCTCAGAGCTAACCAAAAGTATGCTAAAATGACATGTCAAAGGATGATGTATGTTAGGCTATTTCATGGAAATGCACTACAACTGCATGGAGCATGCATGGGGCCATCAAACCAACCCAAAAAAGAGTTATGGCATGCCAAATGATGGCCGAAAACCCACTGAAATAGAACCAATACATGCTAGAAAGACATGCCACTTTGATGAGCCACAAATGGGATTACACTACACATACAAGAAGCATGCAAAAGGTGACCAAACTAGCCATGGAAAGAGTCAAAGAAGGCCCTAGAAGTCACAAAAAAGTGTCTGAACTAAGCCGCAAAATGGTAGAAACACATGCTCCTTTGATAGGCCAATAATGCAAGCAAACAAAACAAGAAGAAAGGGGATCACCCCCTTCTGATTTGAGGCCTCAAAACCACATGCCTACCACTAAAAATCCACTAGATTTCAGTGGTTAAAAGTCCAAGCAAAGAATAATTCAAAGGCCTCAAGGCATGGCACAAAACAAGGCCAAACAAGACCTAAGAGGAGATGGACCACCCCCAATGCAAAAATGGCCTTAAACAAACATCACAAGGACTGGAAAATAGAACTTTTTCTAGTATAAATTTAAGCTCAAATCAACATGAAAATATGGCTAGGAGAGTAACCAAAAAAACAAAGCTTAAAGAGGAGAAAAGGGGTTACCCTTGAAGCACTGCAACAACAGCAATTCCTCCAGCCCAAAACCAACTCTTATGACCCAAAAACCACTTCCAAGGATCTTAGCTCAAATATGGTGGTGTGTGGCTAGGAGTTATAGTGCAAAAGTGAAGGAATAACACTCTTTAAGGCACAAAATATAGAGGGAGAGAAGAATATAGAGAGGCAGATGTATCTATCACTCTTAGCCAATTTCAGAACCCGTGGAATGGAGAGGAAGGCTCTTTCTTATAGAAAAACCAAAGCCAAAGCTTCTTGGAGAAGCTAGAAGCTTGGATAAATCCCTCCATACACGTGTATAGAGAATACAGTCTGTGCCCTCCAGTTGGCACAGTTGGCATCCACAACACCTGTAGAATATGAAGGAAGGCCGCCGACCAGTTAAAGTGGTCGGCTGACTACTTTTACTGGTCGGCCGACCACTTTTTGGCCAGCCACTTTTTCTGGTCGACCAGCTACTCTTTCTGGTTTTTCAGGACAAAAAGTGGTCTCCCGAAAAGAAAAGTGGTCGGCCAATGGATGGAAAGGCCAAAAAGTGGTCGTCCAGTGTCCAAATTGAAGCCCCAGAAGTTAGCTTTCCAATGGCACCAGCCTTGCATTAAAATTCCAATTGTGCAAAAAGTTATGCCTATTTTGGTGAAGTTGCGCAGTTTCGATCCAACCAGGTTAATGCCCTACTGCAACCAACCATATCTCCCCCATCCGGACTTGGCTTTAGGAGATTTTTGAGTGCAAAATGAAGCTCCGGAAGTAAGCTTTCCAACGGCGGTGGCCTCATAGTTAAAATCCAAGTGTATAGACAGATAGGCGTGATTTAACGAGGACCGCTCGGCTCTCTCCTTTAGCGATTCATACCCACCTTCTTCTTCAACTTGCTTTCTTCCCTCTTCTCCAATTTTCTCAACTCCAAACCCCTAAACAAGATGTTTTGAAAGATTTTTCAAAGATTTCAACTCTCTTTCATTCATTTCCACTTCGTCCTTACTCGGTTTATCGAAAAGTGCAACATTTAACGAAATGCGAGCGTCGAAACATCGTAGGAACTTTAGTTTCAAAACATTTTGAAATAGAGGGTTTCAAGGTCTAAAATCTTTTGATTAAGATTGTTTTGGTCCAAAAGGGGTATGAAGTTAAGATTTGACTCTCTCCTTGCCGAAGAAACTGAACCTTTGCCCTGCACACCTTTCTCCACCAAGTAAACCATCAATAGTGCCCAAGTCTTAAGGGCGGTTAAAAATGGGGTGTTTACACCACCCATTACATAATCATCATCTAAACATATAATAAAAATTATTTTAGTAAAAAAATAAATAAATGTGTAAAAGATTTATTAATTTTATATAATTTTATCTTCAATGAGTATAAATAATTTTTAAAAATTAAAAAATATCTTTTTGACATTTATTTTTATCAAATTAGTTCACATTTTATCAAATTTTTTATCAAATTAACAATTTTGCCATTAAAATTGAGCAATACTATCTTCAATTGTCTTTATTTGAAATAAGATTCAAAATTTATAGTCAAATATATTACAATTAAAAAGTCTAAAATCAAAATAATACGAGCTCCAAATTATAAAAACTGTTAATTTAATTCATCTTATAATTCATATGGAGCACACTACAATTTTTTATGATCTTTCAATCGATTACATTTGTCATGGACCAGAAGGGGGACAGAAATTGATTAAAAAAAAAAGTGACATAAACAAACCAGTCGATCACCCTTAAAACCATTTTAAAAAAAAAAACAGCTAAGACCTTACCCCACACCAAGAAGTTAAAACAACCAGTTTTGCTCCCAAACTCCGGGCCGAAAATGGATAATTTAACACAAAAGACTGTGGGCGCATTTGCTTCACCCACCCGCCCTGGTTTTCCTCCCAAACCCGCCCCTGGTTTCTTTCCCACATCTTCACTGACAGGCTTCGCACAATGTTTGACATCACATCACATCATCCACATCTATATATATCTTCTATGCAACACTTTCACACCATCCATCTACTTCACAACCCAATTAGAAATACTTAAAAAAATTCTTTCTTTACTTGTAATTTGCATCTACTAAATTTTAAATCGACCTTCAAGAAAGAAAAAAACATGAGTTCAACTAGCAGAGCTTGGATTGCGGCAGCAAGCGTAGGAGCTGTGGAGGCTTTGAAAGATCAAGGGATCTGCAGGTGGAACTACACCATCAGATCAATTCACCACCACGCCAAGACCAATCTCAGATCCTTCTCTCAGCGAAATAAGCTTTCTTCATCGTCTCCGGCCAAGGTTGCGAGCACGGCGATGAGGAGGGAAGAGAGGGCGAAGCAACAGCAATCGGAGGAGTCTCTCAGGAAAGTCATGTACTTGAGCTGCTGGGGTCCCAATTGATCATCCAACCCCAACCCCATATCTGAATGTGGCAAGACAGAGGCTCAAATGTAAATATACATAATAGAAAGTTTTGATTTAATTATAAGAGAAATGTTGTCTCTTGAATTTGGGATATTATTGTTCGCAATGACAGCAAATTACACTCTACTACACTCTCAACTTCCCCTTGTCATTTGTTCTTCTTAGCTAAAAATGATTACATTCTATTCCATTAATCTTCTAATTTGTTTCAAACTCGAACATTTTGCATTATTGACATTCTCTTATAATAGTAATCAATCAAAAAAACATGGCACCTTAATTTATCCATACTAATTTTATTATCAAATTGTTAATTTATGAATTGTATGGTTTGAGAAGATGGTGGATTGAAATGGGTGAATTGGATCATAAAAATTAACAGATTGATTGACTTGTGTAGGTAAGAATTTGTCTTACCCTTTGCACTTGTGCATTCAATTTCTCTCTAATCCTCGTATCATTGATCAAATGATTACCCCCACCCTACACTTTTGTTGCATTTTTTTTCTTAATTTGATTGATTTTTATATTAATTTATGTAATATAATATTAAATAATATCATACATTTGATTAATTTATGCGTTATGTGTCAAGATTTTGAATAAATAATAATATTTTGTTCAAAATTTAGGATAAGTTGTATGTTCATTGATATTTTCTTTCAATTTCGTATTTTTAACCCTCTTTATTCACTCAAACCATTGATTTAAAATTGGTAAAATATTCAACAAACTCATTGATTTCGAAAATGAGTGGGTTGGCAATACGTTGAAAATTTCTTAATCTGCTAAACATGCTTTGATTGATAATTTTTTTTCCAAAATCAACACAATGCATGCAGATCTCTAAAACAAAGTATCCATTAAAATCAATATTTTACTTGAAAATAAATCAGTCACGCAATTTTAGTAGAGAATCGTGTATAAAAAATTTAGGGAGAATTGCAAAAATAAATAAAAAAAAATGACATCAATCCAAAATAAAAGAGAGGGCCAAGAAGCAGCAATCCGAGAAGTCTTTGAGGACAGTCATGTATTTGAGCTGTTGGGGTCCCAACTGATCATTCAAAAAAAACAAAACATAAAAAAAAAAAATCAAAATTTTGATTCATATCTGAATCTACCAAAACAGATGCTGAAATGTAAATGTACATAAAGTTTTGATTTGTTGGTAGTCCGTATTATATGGGAAATGCTTTCTTCTCCTTAATTTGGGATATTCTTGTTCGCAAGGCAGGCAAATTACACTATACTGTACTCTCAGCCTTCCCTTAGCTAAAAATGATTACATTTTATTCAATTGATCTTTCTAATTTATCTCAAACTCAACATTTTATTAACATTATTGCCATCCTCTTATAAAGAAATAAAAAAACATGGCACCTTAAGTTATTCATACTATTTTATGATCAAATTGTTTATTTATGAATCACATGATTTGAGAATATGAAATTTGAAATATATTACAATAATATTCAAAGAGTTAATTATAATTAAAGTGGAATGACCAATGATGTCATGACACATGTATTTTTATAATTTTTTAATTTAAAAATCTAAAAAATTTGGATTAAGAGTTTTAAATTTATATACTCTTTGCTTAAATTATTTATTAGCATAGTATCTGTGTTATGTACGGGATTAAACAATGATTAATAAATTTATTTGTTGAATTAATTAAAAATAATTTCAAAAAAATCAAAAAATAAATAATATTAAGTAAGTTTTAATTTTATTTTCTAACAAAAAGTGTTTGAAATTAGCTTTTAAGTGACTTTTTGAATTTTTGAACAAATATAAAAGTTAATGTATTTAGGAATGAATTTTTTAATTATATAAAAAAAAATGTAAATATTTTTATTTGTTATTTAATTTTCTGTTTTACTCTTTCAAAGGTGTAAAACTCACCATAATTGTTTAATCTTTTTAAACTTAGATTTTTGAAATTTTTTTTTGGTACATGCCAAATCCATGAGCTACACAAATTTTTTTTTTTTAATTTTTTTATTTTACTATTAATATTTCGTCCTAAGTGTTATATAACAATTCAATTGGTAAAATTAAAACAAATGAATTTTTTAAAATTACAAAAATTATACTTTCATTCAAGTATAATTATATTACCAATGAAATTCGTAATTATAATTCACCATATCAGAGTTTGTCAATTAATTTAACAATTTTATCTTCTTTTCTCTCTCTCTCTTTCTCTATCCCAACCAATTTAATTCATAAGGCCATAATTTTTAATTTATTATTTTCAATTAAATTAAATTTATATTTTATATTTTTATTTAATATATAATTTTAAATAACGACAATAAAAAAATAATTTTATTTAATATATAAATTAAATTTTCAACAACACTAAAAAAATTTAATTTATAAGGCCATAATTTATAATTTATTATTTATTATTTTTAAATAAATTTAATTTATAATTTATAATTTTTATTTAATATATAATTTTAAATTAACAATACTAAAAAAAATTATTTAATATGTAAATTTAATTTTTTAACAACACTAAAAAAATTTAATTTATAAGGCCATAATTTATAATTATTATTTTTAATTAAATTTAATTTATAATTTATAATTTAAATTTTTTATTTAATATATAGTTTTAAATTAACAACACTAAAAAATAATTTATAAATGTTCAAAAGACTATTTTACCCTTTTCTAATTGTTCACTAAGTAATAGCATGGAGGGTAAAATGGACATTTCACAAAATACTCCCATGGGATACCAATCCTATGGTTTCTATCCCACACCCCCCCATGGGATAGGATAGTCCCATGTTTGTGAGACTAATAGTCCGGGGAGACTATTAGTCCGAAGCAAAATTTTTCAAACAAACAATGGACTATTAGTTCGGTGGGACTAATAGTCCAATCCCACTCTCTTATCCCTCAAAACAAACATGCTCTCTTTGTTTTTAACACAATGTGACAAAAAAATTGAAATGAAATATTTAAACTTTTATAATTATTTCATTCAATCATGGGATTTTTATTGATAAATCTCATTTAGAGATATTCTAACCTAAGAAGTCTATGAAAGAATTTTTTAACCCACTTAATTCCATATATATATGCTTTTATTCCATAAATTTTATTTTTATTTTTTATTTACACTATTTAGACTCTTATACCCTTATATTTAATATTAATATTTAATGTTAGGGAGAGAAGAGAGAAGGGAAAGGACCAAGGTATAGAAAATTTCATATACAAATTAAATAACATTGATATTATTATTTTATATTATTATATAATGTGAATATATTTTTAATTGATAACACATTAAAAATAATGTGAATATTTTCTCTTATTTGATGTGAATGTTTACAACACCTTTTCAAAAAATTCTCTCATCTAATGTTCACAACATGTGAACCTTCTTATTTTTAATTGACAATACATTAAAAATAATGTTCATTATATTTTTAAATGACAACACATTCTTATTTACAATATGTAATGATGTGAACGTTTACAACATGTAAACATTCTCTCTCATCTAATGCAATGACGTGAACGTTCACATTCGTATGTTTTAGTATGAATATTCATATCATGTAATTGACAATACAATGACAAAAATTCATTTCAAATTAATATGAATATAATGACAGTTAACATCCTGATGCATGGGAACTATCAAAATATAATGACAATCAATATTAAATATCAACATTAATAAGGGCAGGAGACATTGAGGGTATTTTGGTCTTCTTACCTCAAATAAGATGAAATGGAATAGTAAAAACGAATATGAGTTAGATGGAATAAAACTCTTAGAAAGAGGACTTATCAAAAAAGCTCCCGTAAATCATTAGGAAAAATATTCTCATATTAGTAAAATTTAGTATGTCAATTGATAGAATATGATAAATTTAAGTTGATCGTAAAATGTAAGGGTATTTTTAAATTTTTTAAATTTAACTTTATTTTTAAGCCAAGTTAAATTTATGTCAATCAACATAAATTGAAGAGTCACTTAACCAATTTGTTTATGTAAATATTCATTAAATTGGTAAACATATATCATTAATAATTTTTTAATAATAAAATGTACATATTTATGCATATTTATAGTTTTGAAAAAATGGATTAAGTGTAATTTTATTATAGTGTTATAATTATGGTCGTAACTTTACTTTAATCTAAACAACTGTAGATATTTTTAAACAAAATTAAACAAAAATCAATTCAAACAAATTAAACAGATATTTATTTATGTAAATTGTTTTTGAATTGATATTTTTAAACAAAGCCTCTGTTTTGGAAGAGGCTTTTTGGGCTTTTTTGGCTAAAATAGCCACAAAAGACAAAATAAGTTATTTTAGCCATAACAAACATAATATCACATCCAACTCATAATCATTACGCTCTTCTCTCACAAAACAAGTCAAAAAAGTCAAAAAGCCAAAAAGTCATTCCCAAATTAAGCTTTTTAGCCCAAACTAAAATAATCAAAAAAAATTAAAAAATTAAAAAACTAACTCACTTCTCAAACCAACCATCAGCTACAAATAAAAATATTAAAAAAAAAAGTGCCATCAACCCAAAAAAATTATAATGTAAAGAAAGTATAAACAATTTATATATTAAATTATACAACTAAGTTTCGTACTTTTATCTTTTTATAATTATTTTAAGTTTATAATATTTTTTTTCCAATTGTTCTAAAAGTTTATATTGCATAACATTTAGAAATTATTCAATAATTTTAAAATATTATGTGTCTATGCTTACTAATCAATTATTATTTAATATGTCTATTCATGTTATTCAATTATTTAATATAATATACATTATCTACTCACATTTTTTATTAATTATAAAATATCACCTATCCAGAATTACTAAATAATTATCTCATGACACCTACCCCACGCGAGGAAGGCAACAAGTTAAAGCAACTGGTATTCCTCCCAAACTCCGGGCTGAAAAGGACGATTTAACAACCAGACTGTGGGCGCATGACCCCACCACGGCCACATATTTTGTTCCCAAACCCACCTGTTAAAAATTAAAAAACAGACACCCGCCCCTGGTTTTTTCCCGTCTTCTTCACTCACAGGAGGCTTCCAACAATGTTTGACATCACATCATATCATATCATCTATAAATATCTCTGCTACACAAACACTTTCACACCATACATCCATCTACTTCACAACACAAAATAGTGATAAATTCTC